AAATCTCGTGAATTTCCAATTAATTTAAAAAATATATCAAATAAAATTGGATTAATCCATAATACTAAAAGTTGTCTTAATTAAACATTTAAAGAAATATAAAATTGTTTCAAAATACATTTCATGTAAGCAATCTCATTAATCCAACACTCATCCCGTTTTGGTTGAGCTTATCCGCTGTAGAACAAAGGGTACGCACATTGTTTAACATGTCAACCAAATTTGATTGTAATATCGAAGTACTGTAAAAATTTCCTGATCTAATATTCATTCTTATAAGAAACTGATAATATTAAAACCCATCTTTTGCTATATAAAGAGAAACGATCATCTGATAGCTCTTTACTCATGCATAATCATGCGCTTGTTACAAGTCAATACCCATTATATAAGAATTGGAACTCTTTGTCTTGTCAATTTTCTGTGCCAGCAAGTTATGATTTTGGCTTCTCTCTCTCACTTATTTAATTTCTTTAAATTCCCCATTAATTTATTCATTTTTTATCTCATATTTGCAGACAAATACTACAAACTTATAAACATATTCTCGGTATAGATTGGTATCGTAGTTATTAGCGAATAAAATCATTATAATAAATCTTTCACTCAATGCATTCGCCTTTACCAACTACAATAACAGTTTAGAAAGCTGTTGAGCATATGAAAGTCCAATTCGACTCTAAGCTCTAAGCTGCAAGGCTCAAAGACCACAAATTCACGATAAACACTTCATGTTTTCTTCGTTTACTGGCCCTCCTTTAGCTAAAGAAATCGGGATGCAGTTTCTTTTTGACGAGTGTAGTTCTTTTTTTTGAGGAATCAGCTGTTTTTTTTTTTTTTTTTTTTTTCATTACACCATTTTTCATTACTCGGAAAGGAAAAATCCTCTGATTAAATCCGGGAATTTTATTGGTCCACGATATAAGACATGTTTAAGCTTTTCATCTTTTTTAAAGTGAGCTTATGGATTATAAAAGATTCCTAATTTTGTTATGGTATTAGTACTTCGTAATGAGGTAAGTAATGAATAACATCATTCTTATTCATATCAGAAGACATTTCTTTAATTATGTTGATTTTGTAGCTGTTCCTGCATTCTAAGAAGCTAAGAAAAATATCATACCTAAAAAGCTGAGAATCGATTCAGAGTTGATTTAATCAATCAAAATAATGATTAACTTTTGAGATTTTCTATGGACAAAAGACTAAATATATTGTTGTCCCTTAGTGGTATTTTGTTTAAATTGTTCTAATGCATTTTTCAGATGTTCGTTAACATAGTTACTGGATTCCAGATATTCGCCCTCATTGCCAATTGCGTTATGACTTGATTACTCTGATGATGATCAAAGTATAGAGTATACGACACATTTTCCTTAACTATCATTTTCAATTTTTTTGTATTCATATAGTATATTGATGATAGGTATTGGGATGGTATTCTTTCGAATTGCATTTGTTCAGCTATTTTTGATTGTAGGAATTTCTCGCTAATTTCATAATATGCTGTGAAGAATGCACCTTATGTTAGGAATGCGAGTGATATGCGTGTGTAAAAACAAATTTAGAATTTCTTTCTTACTGCCCTGTTTCCTTGCGAAACAAAGTCGTTTTCCTTTCTTGATAGTTCACATCGCTGACTTCTTTGTCTTCGATACTGGTACATTCTCGAACCTGTGCTGATTCCGTTCTGTGTACGTGTACTGTGGGAGTCTTCGTAAAATACTTTATTATTCAAACCTCAAACTTGAGTAATTAAACCACCTCGCAACCGAGCCATACCAGACAAGGAACTATAATGAATGGCTTTGTAAGGAAAAAATTGGAAGGGATTTTATGGATGCTAAGGTTACAAAGTAGATTAAAATCACTTACAACAATAGTCTTTGTTCACTACGTTATAGAATCGCCATTGTGGCGACACTCCCGACTCGAGAAAAATAGCAAACAAAATGACTGGACTTGTTATCAGTCTGCTCTTAGCTCTTTGGCATTGTTTTCCTTCCGCGGAATCGAGGACGGATGGATATCTTCATAATCTTCTAGTTCGATATTCGGGTCCACGACTTGGTATTATTTGTTTTGACTGATGCTCAGCTCTAAAGGGTAGAGGTGGTTCAATGGTCTTTTCTAAATGTTTCCACCGGACATTTTAAGTTAGACCGCTCGAATATTACCGGCTTGTACTATTAACTTGGTGATGCTCGCCAGAGGCCAACATCCTCTGGGTACTGCTCCTGTGTGCACCACGACAATCTCTCTCACTTATAGAATGCGTCTGCGCGTGTGTTCCCTTGTGCTCTCTTTGTTTGCGGTCTCGTAGTGTTTGAAGGTATTTGGTTTGCCACTTTTCCCAGAATTTATCTGCTATTATTGCATCTTCTTTCCAGTAGTTCAACAGGTAACCTCGATTATGCGAATCTTGGATGATTCTTCTCGTTAGTAGTGGAGACATTGCGTATCCTTGTGAGCTGAGAAAATCTATAGGTCGTAGTGGCTGCATATTCTCGTCATCAATTACAATCAAAGAACGAGAATTCATTATTGCTTCAATTTCTATCGCCACTTTAGTCATTTTTGAGCTGTCTAGGAGATATTTCCCGACCGCTACTCGAAATATAATTTTGAAGATTGAAATTAATCTTCTTTCATATAATCCTCTAGCCCAAGGTGCGTATGGGACAGTATGCTTCCATTCTATATTTAAAGGCCTTAAAAACGCTTGTACTTTTGGTTCTTGACGTAATTTGTCCAGTTCGTTGAGCAAGGCTCCGTGAACGTGCATGATTTAGGTGCCTTGATCACTCTGTGCAGCGAGGATGGATATCCTTTTCGGGCCAAGAATCGTCTAAGTGCTTGAAGGCAGCCAATACTTGATAAATCGTCGGTTATTTCGAGGATGTGAACTGCCCTGGTTACAAAGCATGTTAGGAGTAGAATCCATCTTTTTTCTATTGTGTCAGTTCTTCGTACCTGTATAGGTACCAGATAATCCAATCCTGTATGTTGAAAGGCTCGTGCGTGGATGATGCGTGTTATTGGAAACGGTAAAAATTTGGGTAGAGAAAATGGATGAGCTCTCCACCGTTTATAACGTTGGCAGTTATGTAAAATACGAGATTTAGATATTTTTAGATATTTCAAGGAAGAAGAAAATCTTCTTCCTTGAAATATCTAAATTTTGTCAAATTAATACTTGGACCAGCATGCAATGCGTCATTATGGAAGTCGAATATTAGCAATGATACTATGGGTGAATGTCTATCCAATAAAGCTTGATGGTTCTCGATGTTGCTCATGTTTTCCATGCGAGAAACATGTCGTATAATCCCTGTTTTATCTGTTTGCGTAACGTGCTGATTATAGTTTGCTAGTAGTTGCTGGTCTTTCTGAATGACAAAATTTATTGCTTTCTGCCAATATTCGCATGAAATGAGCTCTTTCTTCTTAAGCATTCTATCAATATCGCGATAAACTTAACTGACAGTACTGATTAGACTTTTCCAAGAACCAAATTTTTGTATGTCCAGCAATGTTGAAAGTGGATAATTGGTGTTCTAAACTGTTTGCGCTGTTGTCATCATTATACTTTCTTGGTCCTCTTGAGCTTGTGTTTCATTATTATCCTTTGATAAACTTTATATAGGAGGGGTTCAGGTTGGTATGCTTTCTCCATTTTATAGCCATGTTGGTCCATTTCACCACAGGCAGTTTTTAATTCTCCGGGAGACATCCTCCTGGACAAGCTATCAGCTGGATTTTCCCTTATCGATACATGTTGAAAGGATACGTTCACTTGCCTGCATTCTTTTAAGCGGTTTTCTACGAATCTTGATTGTGTGCTAGACTGAATAGTCAACAATGGACTATTTGAGAGTCGCTCCACACCGTTACTGGTAGATTTTTCCTTTGAAGTTCCTTTCGAAGTTGCAATTAGTATGGCTAATAGTTCTAACCTGGGAATAGTGATGGCCTTTAGTGATGCGAGACGTGTTTTAGCCAGCCATAATTCTGCAGTTTGACCGGGAATCAGCAACTATGCTACGACCCTATATGCTTTAGACGAAGCGTCTGCGAAGATGTGTATCGAGCTAGTTTCTTTTATTTTAATATGTCGCATGAGTGGGAATGTTTCCTGCGTCCATGTCTGGGAGCGTTTGTTCCATTCGGATAATCATTCAACGCTAAGAGGTTCGTCTCAAGATAGTTTATCTCGCCATAGTTCTTGGAGGAAGGTCTTAAATGATATGAGAATAAGAGAAATCCATCTTAATGGATCAAATAAGCTTATCACTACGGATAGGATGGTTCTCTTTGTTGTTGCTTTTGGTAATTCTTTCAGTTCCAGAATTATTTGGTCCGTACTTGTGTTCCATGATATTCCTAACAATTTTACTGTTGTGGTTGGGACGAGATTTTCGTTGGGTAGTGAATTGTTGAAATCTTCTTTGTTGATTTAAGTTGCCTTAGGTTCATTTTAATTGAAGCAAAGTACTGCTTCGTTAATTCGTATTTGTGATGAGCTTCTTTGAGATTTTGAGCTGTTAGTAGAATATTATCAACGTGCATATTTCATTCAAGCTCTCTAGCCAGAGAAGTGTTCATTTTTTGGAGAGCATATCGTATGACTGTTGCCAGGAGAAGCGGGCTACAGATCATACCAAATGATAATCGAGCGAATTGAAAAATTGCCAAGTTTGTAGTCGTCGGAGGACGATATATGTCCGTAAGCCAAAGGAATTTTGTAAATTTTGTCATTTATGTGCAAAGTTAATTGATTGAAGACTCCCACAGTACACGTACACAGAACGGAATCAGCACAGGTTCGAGAATGTACCAGTATCGAAGACAAAGAAGTCAGCGATGTGAACTATCAAGAAAGGAAAACGACTTTGTTTCGCAAGGAAACAGGGCAGTAAGAAAGAAATTCTAAATTTGTTTTTACACACGCATATCACTCGCATTCCTAACATAAGGTGCATTCTTCACAGCATATTATGAAATTAGCGAGAAATTCCTACAATCAAAAATAGCTGAACAAATGCAATTCGAAAGAATACCATCCCAATACCTATCATCAATATACTATATGAATACAAAAAAATTGAAAATGATAGTTAAGGAAAATGTGTCGTATACTCTATACTTTGATCATCATCAGAGTAATCAAGTCATAACGCAATTGGCAATGAGGGCGAATATCTGGAATCCAGTAACTATGTTAACGAACATCTGAAAAATGCATTAGAACAATTTAAACAAAATACCACTAAGGGACAACAATATATTTAGTCTTTTGTCCATAGAAAATCTCAAAAGTTAATCATTATTTTGATTGATTAAATCAACTCTGAATCGATTCTCAGCTTTTTAGGTATGATATTTTTTCTTAGCTTCTTAGAATGCAGGAACAGCTACAAAATCAACATAATTAAAGAAATGTCTTCTGATATGAATAAGAATGATGTTATTCATTACTTACCTCATTACGAAGTACTAATACCATAACAAAATTAGGAATCTTTTATAATCCATAAGCTCACTTTAAAAAGATGAAAAGCTTAAACATGTCTTATATCGTGGACCAATAAAATTCCCGGATTTAATCAGAGGATTTTTCCTTTCCGAGTAATGAAAAATGGTGTAATGAAAAAAAAAAAAAAAAAAAAATAACAGCTGATTCCTCCAAAAAAAGAACTACACTCGTCAAAAAGAAACTGCATCCCGATTTCTTTAGCTAAAGGAGGGCCAGTAAACGAAGAAAACATGAAGTGTTTATCGTGAAATTTGTGGTCTTTGAGCCTTGCAGCTTAGAGCTTAGAGTCGAATTGGACTTTCATATGCTCAACAGCTTTCTAAACTGTTATTGTAGTTGGTAAAGGCGAATGCATTGAGTGAAAGATTTATTATAATGATTTTATTCGCTAATAACTACGATACCAATCTATACCGAGAATATGTTTATAAGTTTGTAGTATTTGTCTGCAAATATGAGATAAAAAATGAATAAATTAATGGGGAATTTAAAGAAATTAAATAAGTGAGAGAGAGAAGCCAAAATCATAACTTGCTGGCACAGAAAATTGACAAGACAAAGAGTTCCAATTCTTATATAATGGGTATTGACTTGTAACAAGCGCATGATTATGCATGAGTAAAGAGCTATCAGATGATCGTTTCTCTTTATATAGCAAAAGATGGGTTTTAATATTATCAGTTTCTTATAAGAATGAATATTAGATCAGGAAATTTTTACAGTACTTCGATATTACAATCAAATTTGGTTGACATGTTAAACAATGTGCGTACCCTTTGTTCTACAGCGGATAAGCTCAACCAAAACGGGATGAGTGTTGGATTAATGAGATTGCTTACATGAAATGTATTTTGAAACAATTTTATATTTCTTTAAATGTTTAATTAAGACAACTTTTAGTATTATGGATTAATCCAATTTTATTTGATATATTTTTTAAATTAATTGGAAATTCACGAGATTTCAAGTTTTTGAATGATCTGAATGCTTCTAGGATGGTTGAGTACCTTTTTATCTTTTCTACTTCGCCGAGAAACAAATTCTTTGTTCATCGACACTCTGAACTGATTTGTCGAACATTGTTGGTGAAGAATTCCTTCGTATATTCACTGGTCTTTGAGAATTTTTCCTTGTCCGTAATTCTATTGAGACAGTTTTGCTTCTCCATCATCCCTTCTTTATCCTGGCTATTTAATTTCTTTTATAGGTTCATTGACCAACGCAATCTCTCCCTCATGGGGAACTATTGTACCTACATCTTTTAGGAAAGAATGTCCTCCTTGGGTTCTTTTTCGAAACTAGTCATTTTTCCGTGAGAATATTCGAACCAATAGTTAAGTTTCTCTTTGGCATTGGTTTGTATGAGAAAAATTCTTTCAGTTCATTGTCGTTAAGGATTGGGACATCGAGGTTGGAGGAAACGAAATCACTAGATATATATTAAATAATTTTTAGAATTCACGTAAGTTTTCAACCGCTTACTTTTGCAGAACTCGAAGATTTTGGGTCACGTACAGCTTTACCAGTTATTATTATTGAACAGATTGTTTTATATTTTATCATTTTAGTACTGTTTTATTTTATTACATTTATTTTAGTCTATTTTGGTATTTCTTTGTTAGCAAAGTAATTGTTAATGATATCATTTGCTCGATAATTCCTGTTTAATAGTTTATCAATGAGCAAAAATTACGAACTACTGGATGAGCTGTTCGATAAAGTGTTATCATGCACTCATATCCAAAGTCATTATATGGAAGCATTTATTATGAAATTGGATGAAATTTACAAATTTTCTAACCGGCAACTGCCACTCAATACACTTATTTTAGTTAATTCTTTGAAGTAAGTGTTTTGTAAAAATTGTGACACTCAAAATAAATGACCAGTCATCTTATAATCGTTTTTATTATCTTTCATGCCGAATTTAACTCTGGAACTTTAGTGATCCAGATCTCTGTATTGCTTCTGATAACTAATTTCAATTGTACACTTTCCTTTTTCTCTGTTACTGTAATAAGTGAGAACTGTAAGAATAAGAAAATAAAAAACATGAGATCTGTCAGAATAACAAATTTTGTGTCTTAGATAAGTCTAGATATAGGTCGATTTTCAGATCAAAGTTTTATCCACTTCCACAAGTATTTTCACCTGAATATTATCTGAAACTTGCGGTTGGTCCACTTTGCTATTCGCTGCATATTTCAACTTCAAATATGTTCAACATTGGTTACGTAGTACTAGTGCTG